ATTTTTTTCTGCACAGAACTGTACTAGAACGCGGTATAACGCATCAAAAACGTACATGTCCCTATTTAACCACTTCCAGTCCGGACACTTTCACACCCCCCCCCCCCCCCCTCCTGTCCAGATTAATTTTCAGCTTTCAGCGCTATCACACTTTGAATGACAATTGCGCCGTCATACAACGCTGCACCCATATGAATTTTTTAACATGTTTTTGAGACAGATAAAGCTTTATTTTTATTTTGGTGTTATTTATTCACCACTGGGATATTTATTTTTTTGCGATATAAATGAAAAAATGAATAAATAAAAAAGTTTGAAAAAAAGTGTTTTTCGTATTACATTTTGCAAATAAATAATATTTCATCATAAATCTTGGCCAAAATTTATTCCATTATCTTTTTAGTAAAAAAAAAAATAACCCAAATTAGTTTAGAACCAAAAATTATAATTTTTAAACATTTTTATTTTATTTTTTTATATTATTATTTTTATGCTTTTTTTTTTTACATACTGTCACCCTAGCAGTACAGTGTTACCATAGTGACACTGTACTACTTGTGGGGGGTGATGAAGATTTTTTTTTTTTTTTTTTTTTACACTGATTGCTTTTACACCCATAAAGGTTGTAAAAGCAATCATTTCTTCTCTCTGGCTGCATTCCTGCAGACATTGAGAAATACTGTAAGAGCTGTGATTGGTCACAGCTAGTCACATGGCACAAGGCTGTTGTGAATAGCCTGTACCATGTGATCTCTGTGATCATTCACAGATTTCACATGTAGTAAGCAATGATGTCAGAAGTGACATCTTGCTTACTACTCTTCATGTGATCACTGATTGACCAATCAGTGATCTCATGATTGGGACCTCGCACAGAGATCCCGTACGACGATTGGTGTTCCACTCTGTCCGGAGGAGCGTGCACAAGCAGGGGGCGGGGAGGCCGTTTATAATCAGCCACCCGACCCTGCACTGCCACCGTTTATATACAACGGCTGGAAGGGAGGTGGTTACATTGAGCCCGGGTTCACACTGATGCTGTGCAGCACATTGCATGTGATTCACACAGGAACTGCACCGCATTCCTGCGCAAATCACATGCGATTTGTGTGCGGTGCAATTTGAGCCATGCATGGCTCAAATCGCACTGCATCCGCACCAAAACAGGGCAGGACCCTTTTTTCTTCCGCACCAGAATCGGATCGCATTGATTGTTCACACGTGATCCAATTTTGCACATCGCACCGTGTTTTGCAAACTGATTTTGGGGTGTCGTTAACAAAATACACACCTGCAATGGTTCGTGTGAACGGGGTGCGATTCTGATGCCGTGCAGAAGCCGCACAGAAACCGGTGAAAATTCTGCACCACATCAGTGTGAACCCGGGCTGAAGGAAAAGTGAACTGGAACACATCAAAAACGCACCGGAGCACACCAAAACTCGTCAAAAATGCATCTGGAATGTGTCAAAAATGCACCGGAACGCGCCAAAACTTCTCAAAAATGCATCTGGAACGTGTCAAAAACTCACCGAAATGTGCCAAAACGCTTCAAAAATGCATCTGGAATGTGTAAAAAAAACGCACCAAAAACACATCGGAACGCGCCAAAACTCATCAAAAATGCATCTGGAACGTGTTTTAAACGCATAACAAATGCCAAAACTCATCAAGAATACATCTGGAACGTGTCAAAAATGCACCAAAACACACTGGAACGCGCCAAAACTCGTCAAAAATGCCTCTGGAACATGTTAAACGCATCAAAAACACATCAGAAATGCCAAAACTCGTAAAGAATGCATCTGGAACGTGTAAAAAATGCATCAAAAACACACCGGAACGCGCCAAAACTCGTCAAATATGCATCTGGAACGTGTTAAATGCATCAAAAATGCCAAAACGTGTCAAAAATGCATCTGGGACGTGTTAAAAACGCATCAAAAACACACCAGAACATGCCAAAACTCGTCAAAAATGCATCTGGAATGTGTCAAAAACACATCAATAACGCCAAAACTCGTAAAAAATGCATCTGGAATGTGTCAAAAACGCACCAGAACGCACCAAAAACTCTCCAAAAATGCATCTGGACTGCGTTTCTATAGTATGAATCAGCCCTCAGCAACTTTTTTGAACGCAAAAAGTTGCGTTTTTGTTTTTATAGACTTCAATGGCTGCAGAAAAGCATGTATTGCTTCTTTCCTGGGTTTATTATGCGTTTTGCATTTAATATCTGCCTAGCAACAAGCAAAATTAAAAAAATTAACCCCCCGCAAAACGCAATACTGCAGCATAAACGCAGTGCAGAAACGGCCCAGACATAACCTACATAGGTGTGAACTGAGTGGCTCACGCTCATTGAATGGCTTCTTCTGTCACCTTGACGACCGTGACTTCAAGAATGTACTAATTAAGCTTCGTTTGAAATCAAACCGGAAACAGTCCTGCCCTTTCCGCTCCGTGGCTGATGGGTGCGTTCCACTGCCGACCAGCTATTTCCTGGTTACCATAGTGACAAACAGGGGCGGGGAAAATATAGCAAAAGTAGACGTTTGCGTCATTCATGTAGATAAAGATTTAAATTATAACCTGATATGTATCTGGTTTATAAATCCAGTTTAGGAGTAATAATAAAAGGCTGAAAATATACACATGTATGATTTGAGATAATTGTCCGCAGTGCTGGAAGGGCGGCGGCCATTTTGTTGTAGCCCAGAAGAGGAGAAAGGAAGGATATCCAGCAGTGGAATCCCTCTGAAGTGGTGTGAGAGTGGAGAGTGTGTGCCCAGTGAGGAGGAGGTAATGATGTCTTCTTATTATCAGAGAAGGGGGTCCCAGCACTGTGTGTGGACAGGATGGGGGGGTCATGTCAGCAAATCCTCATCTTCCTGCAAGTCTCTGGGGTGGAGAATATTGGATGGGGTCTCTGGGTGGGCAGGCAATGGGGGTGTATTCTCCAGAAAGGCATGACATGCGTCTTATAGAACTATGCCTTTTGATTAGGAAGCAAAAAGGAAGTTTGGTGGTAGAAAATGTGACGCTAAAGTGGTAGTAAAGTCTATCGCTTTCTTTAACTCACCTTTAAAGTGGAGCTGTCCAGCAGCGTGTTGTCACCACTGCCGGCACTATCACCTTCCTTCTGCATTTGCGCCTGTCCAGCCATTTTAATGGCTGGCCGCGATGATGTCACTCCCACAATGACGTCACTCATCATTGCAGTATGGCACTCTGCGTTCTTGGTGCCCTAAGTGCTATCACCGATGTGAATATCTCCTAAACAGGGCATGTTTTTAGGAGATATTTACTGGACCTACAGGCAAGCCGTATCATATCACAGCCCGGGATGACCTCACTCCTGTGATGACGTCACTCATCCTTTCAGTATATCACCCTGCATTCTTTGGTACCTAAGTGCTATCACCGATGTGAATATCTCATAAACAGCGCACGTTTAGGAGATATTTACTGTAACTACAGCCAAGCCGTATTGTATTATGGCCCGGGATGACGTCACTCATCATTGCAGTATGGCACCCTGCATTCTTGGCTCCCTAAGTGCTATCGCCAATGTGAATATCTCCTAAACAGGGCATGTTTAGGAGATATTTACTGTAACTAAAGCCAAGCCCTATTGTATCACAGCCCAGGATGACGTCACTCCCTTGATGAAGTCACTCATTATTGCAGTATGGCACCCTGCATTCTTGGCTCCTCAAGTGCTATCGCCGATGTGAATATCTCCTAAACAGCGGATGATTAGAAGATATTCACTGTACATACAGGCAAGCCCTATCATATCTCAGCCCTGGATGACGTCACTCCCATGATGACTTCACTCATTATTGCAATCTGACACCCTGCATTCTTGGCTCCCTAAATGCTATCGCCAATGTAAATATCTCCTAAACCGCACACGTTTAGGAGATGTTTACTGGAACTACAGGCAAGCCGTATCATAGCACGGCCCAGGATGACCTTACTCCCGTGATGACGTCACTTATCATTGCAGTACGGCACCCTTCATTCTTAGCCCCGTAAGTGCTATTGCCGATGTGAATATCTCCTGAACAGCGCACATTTAGCAGATATTTACTGGAACTACAGGCAAGCCATATCGTATCACAGCCCGGGATGACCTCACTCTCGTGATGACGTCACTCATCATTGCAGTATGGCACCCTGCATTCTTGGGTACCTAAGTGCTATCACCGATGTGAATATCTCCTAAACAGCTCACGTTTAGGAGATATTTACTGTAACTACAGGCAAGCCATATTGTATCACAGCCCGGGATGACGTCACTCCCATGGTGACATCACTCATCATTGCAGTATGGCACCCTGCATTCTTGGCTCTCTAAGTGCTATCGCCGATGTGAATATCTCCTAAACAGCGCATATTTAGAAGATATTCACTGTACATACAGGCAAGGTCTGATCTATGTCAGTTAAAAGAGAAGTAAGGTCAAAGCTTTTTTGGGTCATACATCTCTTGTGGGTCACAGAAGAGCTCTCCTGTGACCCAGAATCAGCCAACTGCAGGCTAAATCCCGCTGTCAGTTGACTTCGCAGAGCTGCTCAAGGCTTTGGAAGGATCCCGACAATATTGCTGGGATCCACCCAGATGCCTGATCGGCAGCTGGCTTATCCTCTGAGCGAGCCACTGAGAGCCTGAACCAGCCGTTCTCCTCCCTCCCCAGCCCACCGCTCCACTGAGTGCTTGAGGGGCAGAGTACAGAGCGGTGACTGATAGGAGCTTGCATGGCAGCTGACAACATTACGGCTAATTTCAAGGCAGTGCCTTAGCGTTGTCTGCCTGAAACAGGAAGTGCAGGTATTGGCAGGATCTGCAGGTACGGACATTTACAATTGATTCGCAAAATGATTTGCTTAACAAACTGTACTGTGCATTTTGATGCCAAACATTCTAAAATATAGATTTAGGGTTTAGACTTAGCATTATTTTATTTATTTAAATGATTTTCAGCTATATCCTGTAGTTCAAGCTCAGGCAGGAGAACTCGAGGACGTCATGATGGAGAACCGGCCGCCCCTCACATCACCAGGTAAGAGGAGACTTTCATTTCTTGTAAAGAAGAGAAGAGTATTTATTTTATTTATTACATAGTTGCATAGTCTGGCTGAAAAAAGACAAAAGTTCATCCAGTTCAACCATAGGAAAAAAAAAAAGTTATAATCCTACACCCACAGTTTATCCAGAGGAAGGCAAAAAACACCCAGCAAAGCATGATCCAATTTGCTCCTGCAGGGAAAAAAATTCATTCCTGATCCCCAGAGAGGCAATCGGATATTCCCTGGATCAACTTTAGCTATAAATGTTATATCCAGTTATATTCTGTGTATCCAAGAAAGAATCCAGGACTTTCCTACAGCAATCCACTGAGCTGGCCAGAACCAACTCTTGAGGGAGTCTATTCCACATTCTCACAGCTCTCACTGTGAAGAGACCTTTCCATGTTTGGAGATTACATTTCTTTTCCTCCAGACGTAAAGAGCGCCCCTTGTCCTCTGTGATGACCTCAGGGTGTGTCCCTGTGTGCCACATGGAGAAGAGAAAGAGCAGCAAAGAATTGTCTGAGGGTTTGAGAATAAAAATTGTGGAGACACATAGACAATCTCAAGGTTACAAGTCCATCTACAGAGATCTTAATGTTCCTGTGTTCACTGTGTGCAACATTGTCAGGAAGTTTACAGCCCATGGCACTGTAGCTAATCTCCCTGGACGTGGATGAAAGAGAAAAATTGATCAAAGTTTGCAACAAAGTATTGTTTGAATGGTGGCTAAGGAATCTCCATCAACTTCCAGACAAATCCAAGCTGCCCTTCAGGTACAACTGTGTCAACTCGCACTATACATCACTATCTGAATGAAAAGGGACGCTATGTTAGGAGACGCAGGAGTACCCCACTGCTGACACAGAAATATGGGAGGAGACCCAGGAGGACCCCACTGCTGACACAGAATGATGGGAGGAGACCCAGGAGGACCCCACTGCTGACACAGAAATATGGGAGGAGACCCAGGAGGACCCCACTGCTGACACAGAATGATGGGAGGAGACCCAGGAGGACCCCACTGCTGACGCAGTAATATGGTAGGAGACCCAGGAGGACCTCACTGCTGACGCAGAAATATGGGAGGAGACCCAGGAGGACCCCACTGCTGACGCAGAAATATGGGAGGAGACCCAGGAGGACCCCACTGCTGACGCAGAAATATGGGAGGACCCAGGAGGACCCACTGCTGAGGAAATATGGAGGAGACCCCCCCACTGCTGACGCAGAAATATGGGAGGAGACCCCCCACTGCTGACGCAGGAGGACCTCCCCACTGCTGACGCAGAAATATGGGAGGAGACCCAGGAGGACCCCACTGCTGACGCAGAAATATGGGAGGAGACCCAGGAGGACCCCACTGCTGACGCAGAAATATGGGAGGAGACCCAGGAGGACCCCACTGCTGACGCAGAAATATGGGAGGAGACCCAGGAGGACCCCACTGCTGACGCAGAAATATGGGAGGAGATCCAGGAGGACCCAGGAGGACACTGCTGACGCAGAAATATGGGAGGAGATCCAGGAGGACCTCACTGCTGACGCAGAAATATGGGAGGAGACCCAGGAGGACCCCACTGCTGACACAGAAATATGGGAGGAGACCCAGGAGGACCTCACTGCTGACACAGAAATATTGGAGGAGACCCAGGAGGACTTCACTGCTGACACAGAAATATGGGAGGAGACCCAGGAGGACTTCACTGCTGACACAAAAATATGGGAGAGAGACCCAGGAGGAGCTGACACAAAAATATGGTGGAAGACCCAGGAGGACCCCACTGCTGACACAAAAAACATAAAAAAGCCAGATTGGAGTTTGCCAAAATTTATCTGAGGAAACCAAAATCCTTTTAGGAGAATGTGCTGTGGAGAGACGAAACAAAATTTACAGCTTTTTTCTATCATTCTACTGTTTTCAGAAAAAGCAATGAGGCCTTTAGAGAAAAGAATCCAGTCCCTCCAGTCACACATGGTGGGGGGTCACTGAGGTTTTGGAGTTGTTTTGCTGCTTCAGGCACTGGATGTCTTGACCCTGTGCATGGCATTATGGAATCTGAAGACTACCAAAGAATTCTGGGGTGCAATGTAGGGCCCAGTGTCAGAAAGTTGGGTCTCCAATGTCAGAGGTCATGGGTCTTCCAGCAGGACAATGACCCAAAGCACACGTCAAAAAGCCCCCTGAAATGGTTTCAGACAAAGCACTGGAGAGGACTGAACTGGCCAGCAATGAGTCCAGATCTCAATCCCATAGAGCACCTGTGGAGAGATTTCACAACAGCAGTTGGGAAATGGAACCCTTCCAATCCAAGAGACCTGGAGCAGTTGGTGACAAGAGCACTCCAAAATTCCAGTAGAGAGGTGGAAGGAACTCATTGATGGTTACAGGAAGCCATTGATTTCAGTTTATTTTTTCCAAGGAGTGTGCTACCAAATATTAATTTGAGGGTGCCAATAATTTTGTCCAGTCCATTTCTGGGGTTTTGTGTGGATTGTGTCAGATTTGGCTTTTTGTTTCTCCACTTTTTTGTGTCATACCAATACAAACAAAAGAAATAAACATGATAATGCCTAAACATTTGTAATTACAACAATTTTCTGGGTGAAGTGGTGCATTATCTGACAGGAATGGCCATGACTGTATATTGTACATTCACATCAGTCCCTGCCTTCAAAGAGCTTACGATCTAAGGTCCCTAACTCACATTCATACACATACTATGGCCAATTTAGACAGGAGCCAATGAACCTCCCAGCATGTCTTTTGAGTGTGGGAGGAAACCCACACAGGCACAGGGAGAACATGGAAACTCCAGGCAGGTGGTGCCATGGTTGGAATTTGAACCAACGACCCTAGTACTGTCAGGCGGAAGCGCTAACCACTTAGCCACTGTGCTGTTGAGGATCCACCTAGATACACACATCCTCTGATATAAAGACATAGAAACAATGTATTCAGTCAGTGTGTGTGTTTTTCCTACAGATGGATCCAGTAATGGGAACCCACCAGAGAGATGTCCCCGTCCTCTGTATTCCCGGGGCTCCACACAGGACCATCAGGAAATTCTCCAGGATTATCAGGTAACAGGAAATGAGCGATGAAATTAAAATTGCTATTATTCTGTTTCTTCCTATAATAAGAATATTTTTACAAAGAACAGATCATATCTTACCCAGGGTGAAGGAGTAATTGTCAAAGTTGAAGAAGAAGAGGAGGAGGAAGAAGAAGAGGAGGAGGAGGAAGAAGAAGAAGAAGAGATGTATGAGATGGGTGATCAGCAAGACAAGGAGGAGATCCCTCCTGAAATTAGCACAGGTGAATAATAAACACTAAATCCAGAGAAGAGTCCCAGATCCTCCTTGTTCAGTCACTACAATTATTATTATTATACAGGATTTATATAGCGCCAACAGTTTGCTCAGCGCTTTACAATATAAAGGCAGACAATGCAGCAACAATACAGTTCAATACAAGAGGGTTAGGAGGGCCCTGATCCTGGGAGCTTACAATCTAAGAGGGAGGGGCTGGTGGTACAAAAGGTAGTGACTGTGGGGGATGGACTGGTAGAAGGAATAGAAGATTCCATTATTAGCTGACGGCAGGATAAGGGAGCTAGAGAGCAGGAGGTCGTGGGAGGAGTGGAGAGGACAGTTTGGGTGATATTTGGAGTCAAGATTGGTGATGTAATTGGGGGCAGAGTTATAAATGGCTTTATATGTTATTGTTAATGTTTTGAAATGTATTCGTTATGTAATGGGAAGCCAGTGGAGGGATTACCAGAGAGGGGTGGAGGACACTGAATGGGGGCCAGTGGTGGGATTGGCAGAGAGGGGTGGAGGACACTGAATGGAAGGCAGTGGAGGGATTGGCAGAGAGGGATGGAGAACACTAAGTGGAGGCCAGTGGAGGGATTGGTAGAGAGGGATTATTATTATTATACAGTATTTATAAAGCGCCGATAGTTCACTCAGCGCTGTACATTACAAAGGGGGACGGAACATGTGACAGAACAATACCAATACAATGCAAAACATGAGGGGATCGAGGGCCCTGCTCTTTCGAGCTTACAATCTAGAAGGGACGGGATAGTGGTACAGGAGGAGATAGCTGTGGGGGATGGAGTGGTAGGAAGAGTGGAGGAGGTCGGTCAAGTTAGCAGGGGGTAGGCTTCCCTGAAGAGATGGGTTTTCAGGGTGCGCCTAAAGGAGAGGAGAATAGGTGATAGTCTGATGGGTTGGGTAGGGAGTTCCAGAGGATGGGTGACACCCTGGAGAAGTCCTGGAGGCGGGCATGGGAGGAGGAGACCAGGGAACTAGAGAGAAGGAGGTCTTGTGAGGAGCGGAGTGTGCGTGCTGGGCGGTACTTGGATATTAGGTCAGTGATGTAGTTCGGGGCAGTATTATGGACAGCTTTGTACGTCAGTGTTAGGATTTTAAATTTGATCCGTTGCGCAATCGGAAGCCAGTGGAGGGATTGGCAGAGGTGGGTGGCGGAAATGGAGCGGTTGGAAAGGTGAATGAGTCTGGCAGCCATATTCAGGATGGACTGAAGCGGGGATAGCCAGCGGCAAGGCAGGCCAGTGAGGAGGGAGTTGCAGTAGTCGAGTCGTGATATGATGAGGGAGTGGATGAGCTGTTTAGTGGTTTCTGGGGTTAGGAACGTACGGATTTTGGCGATGTTGCGGAGGTGGAGTCTGCACGAGTTTGTTAAAGATTGGACTTGGGGCTGGAAGGATAGGTTGGAGTCCAGAATGACACCAAGTACTCTGACCTGCAGGGCGGGTTTGATATTGGCGTTGTTGGATGTGATGGAGAAGTCAATGGGGGGTGGAGTTCGGGCTGGGGGGAAGACAAGAAACTCGGTTTTGGAGAGATTCAGTTTAAGGAAGTGGAGCGACATTCAATCTGATATGTCGCTCAGTAGGTGTGTGATTCGGGCAGAGACCGAGGGGGTGAGGTGGGGGGTTGAGAGATAGATTTGTGTTTCGTCGGCATAGAGGTGGTAGTTGAAGCTGTGAGAGTGTATGAGTTGGCCAAGGGAGGAGGTGTAGATGGAGAAGAGAAGGGGCCCAAGGACAGAGCCTTGAGGGACCCCAACAGAGAGGGGGAGTGAGGGGGAGAGTGGTAGCATTATAGGTAACGCTGAAAGAGCGTTGTGACAGGTAGGATGAGATCCAGGAGAGAGCAGAATCTCTGAGGCCGAGGGAGTGTAGTATTTTGAGGAGGAGGGGGTGGTCAACTGTGTCGAAGGCCGCAGAGAGGTCAAGGAGTAGGAGCACTGAATAGTGGCCATTAGCTTTGGCGGTTAGAAGGTCGTTGGAGAGTTTGAGAAAGGCGGTTTCGGTGGAGTGTAGGGGACGGAAGCCAGACTGTAGGGGATCGAGGAGGTTGTTGTCGTTGAGGTGAGAGCATAGGCGGGTGTAGACGAGGCGCTCGAGGAGTTTAGATGTAAGTGGGAGCAGGGAGATGGGTCTGAGGTTGTTCGGGTCATTGGGGTCCAGGGAGGGCTTTTTAAGTATGGGGGTGATGTGTGCATGCTTCAGTGGGGAGAGGGAAAGTGCCGGAGGAGAGGGAGAGATTAAAGATGTGGGTGAGGGAGCGTAGGATGGAGGGGGAGGGAGGTCGTAGGAATTGTGAGGGGATAGGGTCGAGGGGGCAGGTGGTGAGGCGGGCATCAGAGAGGATCTTGGAGACTTCCTCGATGGTAGTAAGGTCAAAGGTGTGGAGTGTTGGGGAGCTTCAGTATGAGGAATGTAGGGTGTGGTGGGAAAAGGAGGTCAGAGCAGTGGTGGGGCCGTGGGAGAGGGGTGATGAGGGGGTAGCTGAGTGAGGGATGGAGGACACTGAGTGCAGGCCAGTGGAGGGATTGGCAGAGAGGGGTGGAGGACACTGAATGTAGATCAGTGGAGGGATTGGCAGAGAGGGGTGGAGGACACTGAATGGGAAGCCAGTGGAGGGATTGGCAGAGAGGGATTGAGGACACTGAATGTAGATCAGTGGAGGGATTGGCAGAGAGGGGTGGAGGACACTAAATGGGAAGCCAGTGGAGGGATTGGCAGAGAGGGGTGGAGGACACTGAATGGGAAGCCAGTGGAGGGATTGGCAGAGAGGGATGGAGGACACTGAATGGGAAGCCAGTGGAGGGATTGGCAGAGAGGGATGGAGGACACTGAGTGGAGGCCAGTAGAGGGATTGGCAGAGAGGGGTGGAGGACACTGAATGGAAGCCAGTGGAGGGATTGGTAGAGAGGGGTGGAGGACACTAAGTGGAGGTCAGTGGAGGGATTGGCAGAGAGGGGTGGCTGATACAGAACGGTTAGTAAGGTGGATGAGTCTGGCAGCAGCATTCATGATAGACTGAAGAGGAGATAGCCTGCGATGAGGTAGACCAATGAGGAGGGAGTTACAGTAGTCAAGGCTAGAGATAACCAGGGAGTGAATAAGTTGCTTAGTGGTTTCCGAGGTTAGGAACGGGCGTATCTTGGAGATGTTGCGGAGGTGAAGTCTACAAGATTTGGACAGTGATTGGATTTGGGGTGAAAGGACAGATGGGAGTCCAGGATTACACCTAGTACCCTGGCATGAGGGGAGGGACTGATGATTGTGTTATTGATCTTGATGGAGAAGTCAGGGGAGGGGCTGGACAATAATCTCTTCTTCTCTCCCCTCCTCTGTCAGTAGACAGTAATGGGGAGACAGTATGGGGGAGATTCACTACCACTGGAGCACTCAGTATCTGGTGCAGCTGTGCCTGGCAGCCAATCAGCTATTAACTTCAGCTTGTTCCTTTAAGCTTTGACAATAAAACCTGGAAGCTGATTGGTTTCTATACAGATCTGCACCAGAATTTCTATGCTCCAGTTTTAGTAAATAAGCCCTTGTGTGCCCAGTGGGGGGGTCAGGAGCCATCAGCCTCTATTAGACTCCATCTCTCCTCCTCACATCATGTCATTGAGACGTGACCAGTCTCCCCCCACACACTCTCTGGGGGTCTCTCATACATCTCAGTACAGGGGGCTTCACTCTCATCTTTATTTACAGACCCCGGAGCCAATCAGAGAGACGTCAAAGCTGAGGATGAGGAACGTTTGACGATTAAAGAGGAGGAAACCCCCATAGAGATCAGCACCGGTGAGCTATAAACCTTAAAGGAACATTGCTCAGAATGTTTTTGCCCAGAAGACACTTTTATGTAGGTGTCAGTAATCCCACCACGTGTGCCACAGGTGCAAAGCCTTTTCTGGTGGTGCACAACTTTCCTCCTGATTCTGTGCCCTGCATTACAGACTACTGACCAGCTTCCTGCATTACAGACTGCTGACCAGCTTCCTGCATTACAGACTACTGGACCAGCACCCTGCAATACAGACTACTGACCAGCACCCTGCATTACAAACTGCTGACCAGCTTCCTGCATTACAGACTGCTGACCAGCTTCCTGCATTACAGACTACTGGACCAGCACCCTGCAATACAGACTACTGACCAGCACCCTGCATTACAAACTGCTGACCAGCACCCTGCATTACAAACTGCTGACCAGCTTCCTGCATTACAGACTACTGACCGGCACCCTGCATTACAGACTACTGACCGGCACCCTGCATTACAGACTACTGACCGGCACCCTGCATTACAGACTACTGACCGGCACCCTGCATTACAGACTACTGACCGGCACCCTGCATTACAGACTACTGACCGGCACCCTGCATTACAGACTACTGACCGGCACCCTGCATTACAGACTACTGACCAGCTCCCTGCATTACAGATTACTGACCAGCACCCTGCATTACAGACTACTGACCAGCTCCCTGCATCACAGACTTCTGACCAGCACCCTGCATCACAGACTACTGACCAGCACCCTGCATTACAGACTACTGACCAGCACCCTGCATTACAGACTACTGACCAGCACCCTGCATTACAGAATACTGCTGACCGGCGGCACCCTGCATTACAGACTACTGACCGGCACCCTGCATTACAGACTACTGACCAGCTCCCTGCATTACAGATTACTGACCAGCACCCTGCATTACAGACTACTGACCAGCTCCCTGCATCACAGACTTCTGACCAGCACCCTGCATCACAGACTACTGACCAGCACCCTGCATCACAGACTACTGACCAGCACCCTGCATTACAGACTACTGACCAGCACCCTGCATTACATACTGCTGACCAGCACCCTGCATTACAGACTACTGACCAGCACCCTGCATTACAGACTACTGACCAGCACCCTGCATTACAGACTACTGACCAGCAACCTGCATTACAGACTACTGACCAGCACCCTGCATTACAGACTACTGACCAGCTCCCTGCATTACTGACTCCCATCCCTGCACCCTGCATTACAGACTCCGAACTCTGCAAGCTGCATTACAGACTTTTGACCCAGAGCCCTGCATTACTGATTCCTGCTCCCTGAATTAGTGACTCCTGACCCCTGCACCATGCAACATTGACTCCTGACCCCTGCACCATGCAATATTGACTGCTGACCCCTGCATTACACATTTTCGATTCAACACTGCTGACTTCTGAACCCTGCAATATGGACTTCTGACCCTGCATTACCAACATCTGAGCACTGCACTCTACTTTATTGATTCCTGCACCCTGCATAACGGACTCCTGATCCTGCACCCTGCATAACAGACTCCTGATCCTGCACCCTGCATAACGGACTCCTGATCCTTTACCCTGCATAACGGACTCCTGATCCTGCACCCTGCATAACGGACTCCTGATCCTGCACCCTGCATAACGGACTCCTGATCCTGCACCCTGCATAACGGACTCCTGATCCTGCACCCTGCATAACGGACTCCTGATCCTGCACCCTGCATAACGGACTCCTGATCCTGCACCCTGCATAACGGACTCCTGATTCTGCACCCTGCATAACGGACTCCTGATTCTGCACCCTGCATAACGGACTCCTGATTCTGCACCCTGCATAACGGACTCCTGATTCTGCACCCTGCATAACGGACTCCTGATTCTGCACCCTGCATAACGGACTCCTGATTCTGCACCCTGCATAACGGACTCCTGATTCTGCACCCTGCATAACGGACTCCTGATTCTGCACCCTGCATAACGGACTCCTGATTCTGCACCCTGTATAACGGACTCCTGATCCTGCACCCTGCATAACGGACCATTGATCCTGCACCCTGCATAACTGACTCCTTATCATGCACCCTGCATAACGGACTCCTTATCCTGCACCCTGCATAATGGACTACTGATCCTGCACCCTGCATAACGGACTCCTGATCCTGCACCCTGCATAACGGACTCCTGATCCTGCACCCTGCATAACGGACTCCTGATCCTGCACCCTGCATAACGGACTCCTGATTCTGCACCCTGTATAACGGACCATTGATCCTGCACCCCTGCATAACGGACCATTGATCCTGCACCCTGCATAACGGACCATTGATCCTGCACCCTGCATAACGGACCATTGATCCTGCACCCTGCATAACGGACCATTGATCCTGCACCCTGCATAACTGACTCCTTATCATGCACCCTGCATAACGGACTCCTTATCCTGCACCCTGCATAACGGACTCCTGATCCTGCACCCTGCATAACTGACTCCTGATCTTGCACCCTGCATAGCGAACTCCTGATCCTGCACCCTGCATAGCGGACTCCTGATCCTGCACCCTGCATAGCGGACTCCTGATCCTGCACCCTGCATAACGGACTCCTGATCCTGCACCCTGCATAACGGACTCCTGATCCTGCACCCTGCATAACGGACTCCTGATCCTGCACCCTGCATAACGGACTCCTGATCCTGCACCCTGCATAACGGACTCCTGATCCTGCACCCTGCATAACGGACTCCTGATCCTGCACCCTGCATAACGGACTCCTGATCCTGCACCCTGCATAACGGACTCCTGATCCTGCACCCTGCATAACGGACTCCTGATCCTGCACCCTGCATAACGGACTCCTGATCCTGCACCCTGCATAACGGACTCCTGATCCTGCACCCTGCATAACGGACTCCTGACCCCCTGCACAACGGACTCCTGACCCTGCATAACGGACTCCTGATCCTGCACATAACGGACTCCTGACCTGCACCCTGCAAACGGACTCCTGACCCTGCACAACGGACTCCTGACCTGCACAACGGACTCCTGCCCTGCACAAACGGACTCCTGACCCTGCAAACGGACTCCTGAACGGCTCAACGGACTCCTGACCCTGCTCAACGGACTCCTGACCCTGCACAACGGACTCCTGACCCTGCACAACGGACTCCTGACCCTGCACAACGGACTCCTGACCCTGCACAACGGACTCCTGACCCTGCACAACGGACTCCTGACCCTGCACAACGGACTCCTGACCCTGCACAACGGACTCCTGACCCTGCACAACGGACTCCTGACCCTGCACCCTGCACCCTGCACAACGGACTCCTGACCCTGCACCCTGCATAACGGACTCCTGATCCTGCACCCTGCATAACGGACTCCTGATCCTGCACCCTGCATAACGGACTCCTGATCCTGCACCCTGCATAACGGACTCCTGATCCTGCACCCTGCATAACGGACTCCTGATCCTGCACCCTGCATAACGGACTCCTGATCCTGCACCCTGCATAACGGACTCCTGATCCTGCACCCTGCATAACGGACTCCTGATCCTGCACCCTGCATAACGGACTCCTGACCCTGCACAACGGACTCCTGATCCTGCACAACGGACTCCTGCCCTGCACAACGGACTCCTGACCCTGCACAACGGACTCCTGACCCTGCACAACGGACTCCTGACCCTGCACAACGGACTCCTGACCCTGCACAACGGACTCCTGACCCTGCACAACGGACTCCTGATCCTGCACAAACGGACTCCTGATCCTGCACCCTGCATAACGGACTCCTGATCCTGCACCCTGCATAAACGGACTCCTGATCCTGCACCCTGCATAACGGACTCCTGATCCTGCACCCTGAGCATAACGGACTCCTGATCCTGCACCCTGCATAACGGACTCCTGATCCTGCACCCTGCATAACTGACTCCTGATCCTGCACCCTGCATAACGGACCATTGATCCTGCACCCTGCATAACGGACCATTGATCCTGCACCCTGCATAACTGACTCCTTATCATGCACCCTGCATAACGGACTCCTTATCCTGCACCCTGCATAACGGACTACTGATCCTGCACCCTGCATAATGGACTCCTGATCCTGCACCCTGCATAACTGACTCCTGATCCTGCACCCTGCATAACTGACTCCTGATCCTGCACCCTGCATAACGGACTCCTGATCCTGCACCCTGCATAGCGGACTCCTGATCCTGCACCCTGTATAACTGACTCCTGATCCTGCACCCTGCATAACTGACTCCTGATCCTGCACCCTGCATAACTGACTCCTGATCCTGCACCCTGCATAACGGACTCCTGATCCTGCACAACGGACTCCTGATCCTGCACAACGGACTCCTGATCCTGCACAACGGACTCCTGATCCTGCACAACGGACTCCTGATCCTGCACAACGGACTCCTGAT